GACACACCAACCAATACTGCTGGCTGAAAATGTGCCCGAGTGCCCCTATATATTGTTGAACCTGTTTCCATCCAAGTTTGGGAAGCTCACCCCCTTCCACCCCCCAAGTTACGTGCGAGCGACGACCGCATGACCCAAGGCCACAGTGGGTCGGGCCTTTGCGCCACTGAACTGCAGGAGTGGTTTCTTTGGGAGGTGGATCTGCAGTCTAACCTGGATATATACCATACATAGTCTCCATAGACATATGGTGTAGAGAAACTCTTGGCCCCCATGTGCGCCCATGTGGCCCCCTGTTTTTCTTAGCGCCTAAAGGTCAAGCCTGTGGCACCCTTGCACGAATTACACATTACAGGCACGCACAGGTGCGCCCACACTATATACAAGCCTTTTGCAATTTCGAGGGTGCCTGAGAATCGCAAAGGAGCCCTACAAAATGCTTCAGGTTCTTGACAGGAGGGCGACTTTACCCCACTTCTCGAAAGTGGGATAACAAAGCATAAAAAGGACGTGGAAAACAAATGACAGCTAGCAAAACTTTCCTTTGTCTGCACAGTCTGACCCAGCTATCAATCGATGCAGCTACCTACTCTCTTGACAAATCAAAGGACAAATTAAATCGGATCCTCGTTTGCGCTGCATTCGCCAAAGTTAATGGCCCCAAACCATCACGCCACATGGTGAAAGCTATCATGGCACACAGGCGAATCTCAATCTCATGCTTTCGTCAAAGACTTCTGCAGAAAGCTATCAAATCACCACAGCATATCTCCACGAATCCGTGGCTGGCTGAAAAGAACACCACACTCCTCCATGGTGTCTGGCTCCATCACAATCAATGCCCTTCTTTCTTGCACAAGGCAAGTACACGACAAGTACTTCCTACAAAGGGTCTAGCCAACCATACCAGCCTCTAAGTTGCATAGCCCGAGATCTTCCTCCATGGTCTGCTGGAGGCCCTCGAAGCACACAAGACCACACGCCCGGCTTTGAAAGCTGGCGCGCCCATCTATTGTATGTCCCGTCAAGTCGTGAGAAGTCAACCGCACTGGCCACTATCAAGTGCCAAAGCGCCGAAGCCGTGGCGGACCTGGGATTTTCCCCACTGGGGTTCTGAGATTCCCTGAGCTACAGGCCATCTCGAGCCCTAATGTGATCCCCTTCCAAAAATAGATTCACATACATATCTACCTAGACACAACAATTGAAAGAGGTTTGGCAAGTCTGACTCTAACGAAAGACTAGGTGGAGGCCATCGCGGGTCGTAGGTTGGAGGCCATTACTACTAGTAGTAGGTTGGAGGCCATTAGTACCAGTAGTAGGTTGGAGGCCATTACTACTAGTAACAAGAAGCTACTAAGTGAACGCAATGGATTTTGGGACGGATCCCAAGGCTGTCCACGGGCCGCCGCAGTGCCCTCCTGGGCGGAGCCCTTGCACCACTGGCACCACCAGCGCCGCTCGGTGAGGTAGTGGCTGCTTGGGGATCTCTGGGTCTATGGTATTGAGGTGGCTAGACTGAGTGGTTTCAGATAAGCTTTACTTGGGATGATTGAGCCCACTAACTAATATGTTTAAGTCTGAGTTGAAATCACCAACCAGTAACTATTTGGGTGACTAAGGTAAGTGGCCACTTCATGACTTTTCCCATTAGATGTTCGTGCACAGGCCGTTTTGGGAGGCACTTGTGTAATTTTGTGTATGATGTCGCAAGGTTTTGGCACCTGGCGAGGGGAGATTCATGTTTCAGGAGCCTTTGTGCTACTGCCAGATGGCCGCACAAAACCTTTAACTCCCTTTTGTGAAGGGGCTCTGGACGGTTCACTTGGAACCCAAGGAGACAGATGTCTTGTCCTTGAGCCCGTGAATGCAGCTTTTTTTCAAGTCGCTGATTCCCGGGTCCCTTGAGTTGGTGTTTCCTTTCTTCTGTGCGCTTCGGTCGCTGGACTTCGACTTTTGCAGGGCTTGGGCCGAAGAGAATCCCTTGCCGCCCCCGGTGGTGAAGGCCAGGTTTGGGCGCAGTTCTGCAGAACATCAACCCATCAATAACTGGGGTATGCTGCGTGAGCTGTATGTCGAGCTGAGCTGTATCCCGGCAGAGGGTGGAATGTGCGGGCCTCGAGGTGGGGAAGAGGAGGTTGGAGGCTCAATGAAAGACCTCCCAGAAAACTAGAAAGCCACACAAAAGCCTGACAGGCCATCACTCGCTTGTATACGTGGAAAACAACTCGCTTGTACACCTGCATGTGGCAAGACTAGGAAGCCTTCACCATAAGGCTTCAGGCCTTCGATGTCTCCACAGGACATTTCAGGCACAACATAAACTCGAACATGTCCCTGGCGCACATCCTTTGATGGAGTTTTATGGCGAAGCGTTGGGTGCAAGCTTTTGTGAATCGTGCTTCAGGCAAACTTTATGCAACAATGTTTGTCAACAGCAGCGATGTGGGTGGGGATCCTTATGGTTGTGCATCCCCGTGGCAATTTCCTCTATACAATCATAGGGGATTGGGCATTGAAAAAGACATTTTTTAAGTACGGACCGTTGTGCTGGTTTGAGGACGAAAATTTGCAATTGGACATGTGTTATGATCTTGTAGAGACCGATGGCACTATAGTGACGTGATTCTTGCATGTTGCAAAAGATTGGATCCTGGCTGCTTCAATTTTATAACACATTTTGTTTGGCATTTGCATTTTCAAGGTTGTGAGTTGCGGACTCTCATCATTGAACATTTGCACTCCATAAAGTCACCGCACCCATCCATCCTTATTAAGCAAGTGCCCAACCTTCAACTCTCTGTAAAACCCAGTGCCCAACCTTCAACTTTTGCTTTGTAGATATCTAGATCTAGATGTGCAGTTAGGGGCTGGCGGGCTGGGGTAGGGTAGGCAATTCTATAGCAAGATACGTCTATTTTGCCTTTGCTTAACGAGGTGTTCGACGGTACATGGTGGCCTATGAATTTATATACTTTTCCTGGTTTGTGCTACTCCATTTTGGCTACTTGCTTTGTGATTCTATAGTGATATTTTTGACTATCAATGTCAGCTGTTTCAATTTGATAGAGTGCACACCCTTCTGGGAGGTTGTGTGCTGCAGTTTTTGCACTAGATGTATCGTCTTACTCTAGAAGGGGATGTTCTTTGCACAGTTTTGAGCGCATGCTTGTTGTTTTCGCCACCCGAGGGCAACATTTAGAAGGCGTCAATGGATCAAATCACGCATGTCGGGCTTGACGATGATACTACTTCAATGCAAACATGCTTGGATGCACCAAAACCTACATATGTATCCAAATAAAGAACAGGTCAAGGTGTTTACACTGGCATGACAGGTCTATGCATTGTAGCTTCGACAATGATCTCAGCTTTGAAGCGATGTGCGGCGTACTTGGTGTTCTTGCTGGCGACGACCCTCTCCGGACCACGGTCGGATCAGCTGCCAAAACTTGAGACCCTCATCGCAACTCTCGGGCGGCGTATGAGCTACCTGGTCTTCCTGCTGGTGGTGATTACCTTGCTTGCCGTGGCCGAATTTGATGAGTCATGGATAGATCTAAAGACATCATTCTTAGGATTGGCTTGTGGACTGGGCCTCTGCTTCTTTCACGTGCCAAATTCAGGGATACAGGGTGGCGCATCCATGTTTGTGAAGGTGGTTCTCTGTGCTGTTGTGTGGCTGGTGAGTGCTTACACAGCGGCCTACCCCTGGCTTTTGTGGCCCGGGATTGACCCCTCCGTAGCAACAGGTATGTTTGATCGGCGTTGGCTCAATTTGGTTGTGATGGTCATTTTCATGGTGCTCATCGCTTGTTGCCAGTTCAAGCGGCACCCACCCTCCGCTCTTGCATACGATGCCAAGTGGTGTGTCTTTGGGAGCTGGCTGGAATTGCTGGCCATTATATTGTATGAAGTAGCCAAAGCCAATGAACGTCTGGCACATGACAGCAACCACCTGATGGATTTCTTTCTTTGCATGGCCTACAGCATTGAATCGGTCGTTTTGGCCTGGACCTTAGGTGCCTTCCGGTGCCACATCAGCTCCTTGCAATTGTCCAAAAATGAGCTGCCCTGTGGGTGGATCTACATCATGTCCCTAGCCCTTATTGCCCAGGTTTTGGTCAATGTGATACAGAGGTACTTTGATACTACTTCCTTCTCATTGCTCCTGAGTATACTGCTCTTGGCGGTCTTCCTAGTGATTCTTGCAACCTATACTGCGAAGTTTTGCTTGGTCTTGAGCCGGGGCTTGCACGTCCTGCTGGTGGAAGCGAGCCGAGTCGAGGGCTCGGCCCGTCGGAACATGATCTGGGCTGCTAAAGTGTTGCGGCTAGAGCTGACGGTTGTCTTTCTCTTTGGTGTTACTGTCTTCGTCGCCTGGTCCTGCATCTTTGCCATTCGAGTCTTGAAGCTAGCTTCTGAAGAGGACTACGGGACACTGAGAGGAAGGCGAGGGGAAAGCAATTCCGACGGGATGATTTTCTGAAGAGAACTGTTCAAAAAAAGAGAGCACATCACATTCATCCAAGGAGGGCAAAGCTGCTTGAAGAAAGCGGTAGTGGCCTGCTAGCTACACAACTGGAGCAAGCAGAGTCAAACACAAGACTTGAGAGATAAAACCATATGCAGAATCGATTCAAACATTTAACCTGGGTTGCCGAATAGTCTGCAGAAGCACACCTATTTTCAGGAAATACGCCTCCCAGCGGAAGGATTGTTTTTGCTCACGCCGGGGATGGGGTGGGATCTGTTAACGTTCGCTTGCACTTGCAAACCAAGTTGATGCTACGTTGGGGATGGGGTGGGGTCTGTTAACGTTCGCTTGCACTTGCAAACTAAGTTGATGCTACGTTGGGATGGGGTGGGGTGGGGATGGGGTGGGGTGGTCATCCCTGAAGAAGTATGTCCCGAAAGAGTTGGCATCCAAACGATCCAATGGCGGGTTGAATGCACAGATCCCAGAAAGCTTTGTGTGGCGCTGTAATACACCGTCTAAGCACCAATTGCAGAAGTTGGGTCAGATGGCACAGAAGGAGTGGAACGCGTGAAAAGAAGTGGAGGGAGTGGAAGTGTGTTAAGGTTCCATGAAAAAAAGAAAAACGATTAAAGAATCCCCTTTAAAATTTTCCCTACAGAATCGTGCCACCTGGGTACTCCCGAGCACCCATTTTATAGCACTATAGAGTTGAATCACTCAGGTTCCTCGATTCTAAAAGGAGACCACGAGATACCACGGGAAGTTTCCGACAAGGGTGCAACTTGACCTAGTTGACCTGGGGGTCGTGATTCTAAAGTGATAGAACCCTGAGATCTATGTTTCCGTGAGCTTTGTACTGGTGACATGGGGACTTTGATTTCTTAGTGGCAGACATGTTGATGGTCATTGACGGATCATGATTCTATAGAGGAACAACCTTTGAGTGCTTTTTTTAGTGACAGTCATTTTTTGGGTGCTCTTTCACCTGTTCTCTGTTCTTTCAATTTTGTGCTCTGTCAACTTTCCCGTGGAAGGCTCATGATGAAAAAGCAAGCAAACATACGAACACAAGTTGGTTGGCTATGGCTTGAAGATGTTGTCGGAAACATTCATCGAAAACACATCGGAAAATGCTATAGAATCAGAGTCCTTTGAGCATATAGTATTACAAGGATTTGGTTTGCGAGATGGGGGTTGTGATTCTTTAGTGTTGAATACTTCATACATACTTTCCGTGAGCTTTCACTTCACGACATAGGGGCTTTGATTCTATAGCGTGTGCATGAGTTGGGGGGCATGATTTTATAGAGACCCCCACATGGGGGGCGTGGATCTATAGTGTGAAGTTGTGCTACCCAAGTAGCCATATGAATTTCAAAGGGGGTATTAAAGATACGTTTTTTTTTACTTCCGGGTCCCCGAACGCACTGCCATTTCACAATGGAGTTACGATTTGAGAGGCGTTTTGTGGTGTAAAAACACATTCAAACGGAAATTGACCTAAAAAAGGCATCGCCATAAAGTGCCAGAGGGGTTGTGAAAAACGACTCGAAGATGCATGTGAGAACGCGCAAATCGCGCGGGGCCGTTGCAGCGGGCGTGACCTTGCTTTTTGGGGTGTCCAGGAGAAGATGCAAGCTCTCAACATACTTTTTGCTACGTATGCGTACCCCGATGATTTGAAGCTGCGTGAAGGCTATATCTGTATATGGCTGAAAGCAAGGTGTTAAATGGCCCGCAGGGACAACCCTTTGGCCAATGACAACCTTTTAGATGGGCTCCGCAAATATTCCCGAATTCCCAGATGGACAGCGACTAGGTGCAGCTCCCGAGAGTCTTGCGTCCAGACGCACTCCATTCCACCCCACCAAAAGCGAGGCCACTTGATGGTGTGTTTGGAAGTGATCCTTCCTAAGCCCTACGAATGTTGTCAAAGACCATTGAAGTCATAAGAAACATGACACTTTCGAAACGCGCGAACTCGCTGGCTAGATGTGTTTGTATGTAATTCTTTTCGGTTCTGAACTGACACCAAATAGGCGCGTTTGGAAGTGATTATTTGTTGGGGGGTGGGGGGGAAAGTACCGCGACCAGACGATGCAGGCTTTGGAACTATGCGAGCTTACTCCGTCGCTTTGCATGGGCCTTTTCTTCAACTTGCCTCACTGGCATCCTTTGGCAAGGAAGGGAACCATCTGAGGATGAGAGTGGCACAGAAACCCGGCGCCACGCAAGCTCCGCGACGCGGCTCTCAGACGATATGGGTGAGGAGGACCGGGAGATCTTCAAGGCGACCGTGGAAGACTTGGCGGGTCGTGGACTAACGCTTCGTTCTCTCACTGGCTTTTGGGGTGATTTGTTGGATCTGGAGATTATGCCTCACTTCGATCCACGCCTTTCAAGTACAAATGACGTGGTACGGCAGGCCATCATCCCAATGTCTCGGCAGGGCAGTGGTGGCAAGGCTTTGGCCTGTCTTTGGGAGGATCAGCCGCTGTTCCCAACCACCATGGTCACGCACAACTGGTCCAATGTCTTTGGACATTTGGTGGCTGCGGTCCTGGCTGACGCCTTAGGAAAAGACACTTATGCCGGTGTGGCTGCCCAGCTGACGAGCAAGAAGGGCCTTGAACAGCTGAAGCTGCACCTGGATGCAGAGGGTAAGTTAGACTCCACTTGCTGGATTTGTGCCTTCTCCGTGAATCAACACGCCAGCATTTGTGGTGGCTTTGGTCCCGAACCCGACCGAGTCAGGGAGCCCGAGAGATGGAAGTGCTGGGACCGAACTCGCCGGGACTCTGTCACCGACCGGGCCTTTCTGGTATGTTCTTGCCAGGTGCCGAAGGCCTTCGACCAGAGCGACGCCAGCTGCGAAATCAACAAGTTTGATGACATGATGCACTTCCTACAACAGCAGGACATTGGCTTCGGCCAGCTGGTGGTAGTGGATGAGCACTTCGGGGTACTTCATCGTGCGTGGTGCATTGCGGAGATCGTGGAGGGGAATACCATCGCTGGAGAGGATGGCAACTTCCGCATGCGAGCCACGGTGTACTCCCAGAATTCGGTGTTTCTGAACTACGACAGTCTGGCGGTGCTGGACGTGCGGGAATGCTGCGCCACCTTGGAGAAAGACCGGGAGTTCATCCTCTCCAAGATTGAAGGACAGGAAGCAGAATTCAACATGAAGCTGCAAAACTTCATCTTCGGCTCCAAGGGTTTGTTCAGAACCTGGGTGGACAGTCGGGAGCGCGGTCGCCGGGTGGCGTTCATCTGGCGGAAAGCGGCGGCCTTGGCATCCGAGAATCTTCATCCATCCTGTGCAGAGCGGGTGGTCGAGTTCTTCTTGTTTCGGCCACCGATCTGGTGTCGCTGGGACACAATAGAACCGGACTTGAGAGATGGAGCCGAGATGAGCCGAGTCTAGAGCCCGCGTGAAGGGGAGGAATGGTGTTTAGAGACCAGCTGATGGCCACATGAAATTGTGCATTTTTGGATTTTTGCAACCTATAGCTTCTTACAGTTCTGAAGTGAGAATGGTTGCTGTATAGACTTAATCTCCGCAACGCTCCGGTGTTCGGTGTGCACACCAGGTGAGGCGTCTGCCAGGCTACAAGCATAGCATTCAAGTGATTGGCAAAAGGCCAACATCCATCAGAACCTTTAGACCCCAAAAAGTGCAGATCGTGATGCAAGATGCTCAATCATCTGGAGTCGCTTCACAGACATGGACTCTGCTCACCCTGCTCACCCCACTGAAGTCGTTTTCTGGCCTTTCCAGGTTCGTTTCTGTTCCCTCATTTTGATCATTTTGTGACACACTTCACTCCATGGTTCGCACATGGGTGTTCGTCGCCCTTGACATGTAGAATCCTTTGAGGGGGTCTCCCTGAGAGCAAATTTAAGCTATGTATAATTGGATACTTGCTCCATTAAGTATTCTGAATTTGGCCAGTTTCAATTCAATCGAACTTAACCAACTGCTGAAATCCTGGGACAATCTGAGTTCCAAAACATTTTGATCTACCTTTGCTTTGGCCAAACTTGTGGCCAAACAACTCTGCAGGATTTGGAGCGCGCAGCTCCAAAGATTCAAGCAGGTGGGGGGGCCCCTTGTGTGGAGGTAAGAGGCCAAGCGGGTCGCACAGAAGAATCAACCCCCAAAGCCACGTCTACCCGGTCTACCCTGTCCCGCTCTGGAGAGCACTAATTCTGGACGTGTCCCAAGAAGTGGGGGTCTAATTGAAGTTAAGGCCAAGGCTTGAAGTGAAAAAGGCGATGGCCAAAAATGATTTGGGGTTGATTTCAAGGCTGTCCGTGAGAAGCTCGAGATTGGTTCATAAGTTTATCAACAAATTGTCACAGCTGTGGGTTCTGCTGTAGGCTTCCCACAAAGAGGGTGCCCAGTTGTGAAGAAGAGCTTTAATATTTTGGTGCCAATCTGGTGAACACCAACTACTGGAAGGTGCTGTGCAAGTGTTTGATTGACGGATGTTGAAGAGTGGGAAACTCCCAAGCAGTTTTGAAGGAGGCCAGGGTTCCTCATCGGAGTCGAGGAATGTGCACAGCATCGGGCAGGTTCAGGAGTGGTTCTACGAGCAGAGGTGTTTATTCTTCTTTAGGTGAACATGACATCCAAAGAGTTTCTCGGTTTGGCTGTTTGATGTGTTTGGGCAACAGGGATGAATATAGAGTAGTTGGACAATCTAGATAGATAAAAAGCAAAACATGACAGAATCCAGATCTCCAATCCAGATATAAGTTATGATATAAGGTCTACAGCGTCCAGGCTTGAAACAGATTGCTGACTCTGGCTGACTCTCTTGCTCAGATTCTTTCTGTGGGCAAGTGACGGCTGTGGAGGTGTTGACTGGTTCTATTTCGAGCTCCTGCCTGGAATTGAGAAGGAGGAGCGGGTGCAGAGTTGTGTACAGCTTGAACATGGAGGGAATACTTTCTGCCCCCACCCAGTAAAAATGAGAGCATTTGGTGCATGATTATCCACAATTCACTTTTCCTTGTAATGGCTGTATGCATATACCGTTATATACCTGCATTCTATGCACATATAGTGAGATATATGTGTATACATGTGTATACTATATTTACCTCTCCAACCCACGCGGTCACCGAGTGCAGCGCCGGATGGTTTGGGAGGTGTTTGGGAGGCGGAGGATGGCTGAGGCGAATGGAGGAAGCTTGACGTTGACCTGGTGAATCTTGCATTGGATCTACACGGTTTGATGTGAATGACCGGGTTGCAAGATTTCATGGCGCAAGCAGGTGTCACAGGCAAAAAATGAGGGAGACTGGGTCTACACCTCGCAGTTTCAGTGCAGATTTCCTATACATCTTCAACAGCTATGAAGCTTCCACCTACGCGCTTGCATGCAGTTCCCTCCCAGTGCATGGGTTGATTGGTTCTCTCTCTCTCTCTCTGGCAGTGGGGGGGCGGAATTGAATGTTCTTGGTTTTGTGTGCTCGACGTGTCAGCTCAGGCTCAGCTTACCCCTTTGGCTATACAATTGGCCAATAGCAATCGACAGCAACGTGGAAGTCAATGCCGGGCCAAATGCAAGATCTTCAGAAGTCAGTAGAAGTGCCAAATGGCTTTTTGAGCGCACCCCACCAGTTGAAGAATCTAAGATTGTGCTGCTTCCGTAAGGTTCAGTTCGGTAGCTGAACTTCCAGAGAAGTCCGTATTCAGGACCATTCGCCCTTTGCTAAGGCTAAGTCCATCTTGGACAGAGAAACGCCCAGTTGAGTTGCCATGGGCTAGCAGTCACATCAAGCTAAAACTTGGGCAGGGCCCCACCCACCATTCGCCCTTGACCCATTTGGAGATTTCAATTCATCATATTCATCTCAAAAATGCCGTGGATGCCGCCCCTTCCCCACCCGAAAATCCCTGGACCCCACAGCGAACTCCCCAGCGACGGACAGCGCGCGCGAACGCGCGCGCCCATGTTGGCCTGGCCGAGCGCGTCGGAGCTCCGGAGCGAGCTCCAAAGCGCGGTGCAGGCCCTCAGTGCCCTGGAGTTCCAGTTGGGCGGTGAGAGGGGACGAGAGGTGGTTGGACGTCCTAAGTTCTTGGGCCAGTGGCCAGTGGTTGAATTGATTGGGGTGCCCAGTGATGGAATTGGGTTAATGATGAAGAGTAGGGGTTTGGAGATCCCAGCGTTATGCTTGGGATATATTGGGATTCAAGCCAAGCGAAGTAGACACTACCTAGAGGCATCATTGTTGTTGAGTTTCATGAAATTAAGACGGTTTTCAGGATCGATGAGCAAGAGGGAGAGGAAAGGGAAGGACTGAAGGAGAGAGACTCCGACTCTTTTATTGGCTCTGCCACCTTCAGACGTCCTTAGCGCTCAAGGCTTCCACATAGCTGATGGAAATCTCTGGAGACAAGGGTGGAGGCCATTACTACTAGTAGCAAGAAGCTACTAGGGCGGAGGCCATCGCTATTAGGTTGGAGGCCATTACTTCTAGTAGCAAGAAGCTACTAGCAGCAAGGACCTTCAGAGGTCCTTGACCGCGAGCTCCATAGGGCCCGGGCTCAAGGGATCCACATAACTTATGGAAATCTCTGGGGATAAGCACAGGCTGACACACATCACTGGACTCTTCTCGGTCACACTTGCCGAGGCTTCTCTGAGCTTCAGAGCAGTGCCCAGTGGGCTGCGGAGCTTCTGGCGGCGTTGCCAGGTGGATCGGGGAATGCGTCTGTAATGGCCAAGATGATGGGGACCCACGTCCACCCCCTAAATCTTCCACTCACCCTTCATCAATAGACTTCCTTTTTGGAACCTCGAGTGCACACAAGTTCTTGTCTTCAAAATTGGGTCCTTTATATGCCTGAAGTGTGGCAAGACCGGTTTGCATGTGGATCTTGAGGTTGACAATTCTTAGTTTCTGGGCAGGGTGTTGAATAGCCTTCCATCAAGAAAATTGCAGGAAGAGGACACAAGAGCAACAGGTTGTCTAGCATGTGCATCAACCCTGTTCATGCCACTTAGTCCTTTTGCTGCATCCTAGGTGCACTGGTGAGCCCCAAGACACCCCCAAGACACCCCCAAGACACAAGGGGCTTGAAATGGATCATGATCTCTCCATGAATTCCCCGTCGCTCAGAGGGCTGTTTCGACCCGTGCTCCCCCGACCGCCCCTTCGCCTCTCAAAGCTTTGGTGGCGGGCCTGGTGCTCCAAGAGAAACCCTCTTTCTGCATCCACAGTTGCATGCTTCCAAGACATGTTGAAAGAGAATGAACGCCCTGGAAGAGGTCATGGAACCTGCAAAATGACTGGATTGTAGAGGAAATTAGAGGAACACCGTCGTCCAAAGGTCCATTATCAGTTCCATGTTGATTTTCCCGGTTGTATGATTTCTGAGGCTTTCGCCGCCCTGGAACCGCGTCCATCCACCTTGGCGGTTCCACCCACCTCAGCGCCCATGTCTTCCGTCTTTCCGCGCGCTCGAAGACCGCACGGGAAGAGGTGGCGAAGATGCATCGGCTCCAAATCCCCTGGCGTTGCCCGAAAATGGGAAAGCTTGGAGCGCTGTGATGCTGGCAAAGGTGGGCAGTTGGGCTCTGATGAATCACGGAGGACACCGAAAAGCCCAGCAACGACGGCTCTGTTCCAAACTGCCGGAGCCGCATGCAGGAAAACACCAACTTCGGACCAGGAAGACCACACAAGACCCTTGTGCCATTGAAGTTTGCTCCGGAGATCACATCCTAGAACTCCACCCTTCGACCCTTTGGTCTGAGGATCGGTCTTTTCCTTGGTCCGACTTCAGGCCCATCTGCAAATGCGCGAGTATAGCCGGGCTGCTGCGGTGCTTCTCCCCGAGGGCGTCCGCATGCGCTCCAGCTGCGCCATCTTCTTCCGGCCGCTCGGCCATGCAAGCGAGCGTTCGCATCCGAAGGGGTGTCAAGGATGGGGGAGCATTGTTCAAGTTCTAGGCCAGTGAGCCACACAGGGGATTTTGGGGGCTCATAGAGCCGTGTTGGTGGGGCCCCTTGTGGTGGTTGTCGCGTTTTGTGTCTTTCTCTTGGACTTAACCCATGTAGCGCCCAGATAATTTTTGGATAGGATGTAACTATATGGCTGGTTGGGGCGAGTTCCGGCATGCCTCTCCACATTGGAAGATGGCTGCGCCATTGATGCTAGTACTGCAGTTAGTACTGCAACTGCTTGTGTAGCAAGAGGTTTCGGAATACTATGCCAAGCCTTCCCACCCGCAATAGCCACATAAAAGTTGCTAATGGTGACCCAAGTGGATGGCGCTGGCGCTGGTGCTTTATTCCCATTTGAGGGCCCATATGCGCCGTCTGCTTTATGCAGCATGCATTAATTGCCTACCAGAACTGTGTGTTGACAAAAATTCTTTCTTCGGGGGTATGGATAGGTATACGGTACATAAATGTTGACTATGTACACATGATAGTTCTGGGCCAATCTGAAACGCTGCTACAGCATTCTCCAACGAGGTATCACACATGTTCGTTTGTGCAGGTCTCTATCCACGACCTCCAGTTGTAATTCAAGTCGTGTCCCTTTGTTTCGCTCGTGCTGACCTTAAGAGATCTTGGACATGAAACTCAATTGATTTCGGGTTCATACCCCTACGCTAGTGCAACATCCACGCCTCTTCAGCCCCCACCATTTTCTCAGAAGGTTTCTTGATGCTTTTTGCGTTGGCCCGGGGGGGCGGAGGATAGAGAGCAAGCCACTTTCAATCTTTCGGACTTGTCTTGGGCATTGTCACGGTGTAGTCCATCTTAGACACTCTTGAATTCCTGTTCACTTCCACTTCCACTTTCCCGTTGCAGTTCTAGTAGCCCCTCCTGCTGTCTCTGTTGCCTCGTTTTTTGAGGTCGTATGCCTTGTACATGGCCGGAGAAAAGCGAAAGGAGGAGGAGATTGCAGAAGTGCCCGATCCGGTTTCTTGGAGATTGGCGGAGTGGCCGACCACGGCTTTGGGCACGGAAGTATCCAAACCCAACGCACGGTTTCTATAGTATGTGTATATATATATGTGTGTATATATCTATTTTGGGTTTGTCCTATTCCTGTAACAGTCAGCAAACAATTGTTACTATTTTTTGGACAAGGCCTTTACTATATAACCATCATCATCCATCGTTACAGGTAATAGGATAGACCCAATATCAGTGTATTTTAAAGGGGGAGTGAGTGCATCAACCAGTGACATGCTCGCCTTTGAGGAATTGAAATCCACCGTTTAGTGCAACTTCGTGCCACTGTTTTGCCACATTGTGATTGGGTGATGTTCGGTGTGCAGCTCCTCTTATCGTACAAGCCCCGTCCTCTTTTTGAGTGGGGTCATGCGGTGATCGTCCATTGCACTTCAGTATGCGAAACCAGCGCTATAGCAGAAAGAAGAGGATCTGTTGGGGTCATGCATCACCGCGCTGACCGAACCATTCGGTCACCTGACTACAAGCAGGTCGGTGAGAACGTGTTCAATCGAGCCGAGAGAGACCGAGAGAACGCTTGGCCAAGCCGGAGAAGCCAAGGTGGAGAAGGGTCAGGTGAAAAATCCTGAACTGATCCCTGGCAAATTTCGTTTGCCAAGCAGGAGTGCTGGGCAGGGGCAGCTGGTTTTCAGGAGATGCCTCTCTGGAAAGAACAGCACCAGCTTGAGGAGCTGCTCCCCAAGCTCAGTTGGCAGTTGGTGAAAAGAAGTGTGAAATAATTATCAAGCACAGGTGCCCGTCCTGCTCGGTTTCGGGGGGGACAATAGGTGCTTGCTTCCAGCAGTCAGTAGTCACTTAGGGCTGGTGTGTTTTCGTCTTTGGTATGCCTTCATCATCTCATCCGTCATCAGAACACTTCATAACCCAATTCATAACCCAACAATCGGATTGTTTAGACTGCCAACCCCCATCTACACAAGTAGGGTGCCCTCGGGATGTTCGTCCCGTGCTTTCCAAGCAGCAAGCTGCAGAGTCCAGAACTGGGGTGATCTGGATTTGGGGCCAGCCAGGCGGTTCACGCTGGTGTCACCCATAAAGATGGAACCAAAGCATACCAAAGTTACAAATGCCGAGTCAGCTCGTTTGAAGCATCTGGGACGCAGTAACAATGCTGCGGCTGTGTGCCTTTGATGCGCATCCAAGGAAGGACCTGGAGGAGGAGCTGGCGATGCTCTACCAGCATGAGAAGCTGGACGGTTTGGGTCACGTGGCCCACGGGTGGTGTCGTAGGTCCCGCCTAGCTCGGTGAGATAGCCTTCTTGGGTCGTGCATCACACCCTGGTGAGCTAGCCTTCTTAGGAGGGAGATCGCTTTCCTAAGTGCCTTCTGATGAAGTTGGGCCCAATAGGGTTTCTTGGATTTTTTTTCAGTTAGCGTGATCAACGGGACGTCACCCGCAACTCACACCCTCATTTGCAGTCACTGGCGTTGTCCGCTCCCACCTCGGTGCAGCGGCTTCGGTGCGGTCGACGTCGAGGCCTCTATTTGTACGGCATCACGTTGAAGGGCTTGGAGCGGAAAGAGGAAGCGCGAAGGATCTTGCTGGAATCGGTGCCTCGTCTGAATGAAGTCAATTCTTAGGGAAGCTGGATCTTGGGAGCACTGGCAGCGAGGGGAGTGCCAGTGTGTTCGTGTTAGGGCCTTAGGGAGTTGGCAAGGCGGGAATAACTAGACAAAGCGGAACCGCAGTGGTTGGACTACAAAGGGACGGCTAGCCGGTGGAGCGAGCTTCCGGCTGCCAACTCAGATTTTCAGGTCGCTAGCGATGGGTTTCTTGAATACTTGGCTTCGACTGGAACGGAAACCTTTGAAGCTCCTCCAATTCGCTATGGCCTATTTGCCGTGAGGTCAGTGCCTTCCCTTGCAACTGGTCTGCCTGGCTGGACCCTTGGACGGCGTGTGACGGCTGCCGTACGGCGAACAACGCAAGATACGCAGTGCACCGCGGGGGTTTTGGTGGGGATGTAAGGCCACGCCATGGTCGGTTTTGGGGAGATGTTTGCGCCTTTTCTGAGTGGCAGGTTGCCGACTCCGTGGTTTCTGTTGGCCACCCATCTGTGTCAAGGGATGTTGAGGGTGCAGTTAGGCCACTTGTGTGTTCCAAAGAACCTTTTTGGACCATCCCCTTGGAGCTCTTGACCATTTCTTAAGCCTTTGGAGCTGGTCTCCACGTGGATCTCCAGATGCCTTGCACCGCCTCAGCTCCACAGCATGCTCAGCTCCGCGCTCCACTCGCCCCGAGGACATCATCAGCATCTCCTCGGACCTCAACGACGTCGACGAGTGCCGCAAGGACCTGTGCCCCGCTGGAGGAACGGAGGGGAGTGGGGCACGGAGGCCCAAAGTTGGGAGCAGAAGGCTACGGTTTTGGGGATGCTTGGGGAGTGTGCTCCTGAAGGTTTACAAGCCGTTCGAACGGTTGGCCCGGCACATGCCCCCTCTGTTGAGGGTTTAGAGACATCTCATCGCGTGTTCAAGCAATTCAGAGCAGCTGAACTGCAAACTGTCGTCAGCAAGCTGCTGTCGGCTAAGGAATTTGCCCAATCACTGGATGAGCCAATTCTTCGAGGCCGCTTTTGAACTAGAGCTGCAGCGTACCTTGGCAGCGTGAGACAAGCACGGGCCATGAAGAACTAATCAGTGCTCCTCAAGCTTGTTGCCACTGACTTGCAAAAAGGATTGACCACCATCTGAGGATGTGGGAGGGTGTAGTCATTTTGATGGTGCTGGTAGTGCTATGTACAGTCTTTAGCACTACTTGCATTTTTTAACACCTAGACTTGCGGCGTGTGGCGTGTGGCTTCAGTGAATGCAAGTGAGTATTCTTCAGTGAGGAAATGAGAGCGCAAAGAACCTCTACTTGCAGCTCCGCGCGACGTTCCCAGACTCGTCGTACCTCACATCACAGCTGGCGACCTGCTTCTACAACATGAGGCAGTGGATCTTGCTACTCGTAGTGTTGATGCTGTTCACGACTGTGAGATTTTGGGAAAGTGGGCTAGCTCGCCTGAGACAATGAAAAGAACCTGCGTAACATCTCTCCAAGTACACAAATACAGGCAGCATTTATAATCATTTATACAAAAATCGAAGACTTGCATCTAGATGAGTCTGGGTCCCCTGCCTGTGGCCCTTTGTCCAGAATATACTGGATCATTTAGCGTATCACTGCCCATGTTCTCCTTTCCAAGCTTTAGATGCCTGCGTGGGGTTGGACGTTCCGATCAAGTGACGACACACGAGGAGATGTTGACATGGCCACGAAAGGAATCAATCACCCAGTGTACCATTTTGATCCATGCAGCGACGATGCGGACCCTGCAGTTACGACGAGGAAGCTTGATGTTTGACAGCCCCTGAAAGAGAAACACACAAAAGAAACTATAAGCAAAAGATCGCCAAAGATTCTGGTTAGGATCAGGATCAATGTGGGGGGATCATTGACCGAAATCAATCCAAGATAAAGAATGAACATAGATCACATGAATTTGTTGTTACCATTCTGCTTGCGTAACTCCAAAAACGCATCCTCAACACTTTGGCAGATTGTAGGAGCTTCGACGCCTCTCAAGCAGCCTTTGAAGAGATGCGGAAGAGAGATCCTTATCGACTCACCTCCTTGGACACCTATTCCAACATCCTCTTCGTGAAGGTGGGCGGCCTCCGACCTGGGCCCTGTTTTCCTTGCAGAACCGACCTGGTCCCACCACCCCCCTCCCCGCCCTCCGGCGACATCGCCTTAGTCGGTTCGATTCTGCAGCAAGCCTGAGAACGCCTCGGGGCTGGTGATAGGTTCCCATGAACACATCCATTCCCAAGTTCTGGCAAGGCATCAAGCAACATTTGACAGCATTGGAGATGACAGACTTTCTGAAGTGGTGCTGAAGTAGATAACATGTTGACCGGTCCATCGTTCGCTTTATCTACCAAAGGGGGGACTTCACACATGTTACACATCATGTTCCATAGGTGTCATCACTCATCTGTGATTGATTAACACCAAACATTGTTTGGTTAATGGATGCACTTTAACTTTGAAACATATGTGTTTTGAACAGAATGAATGATACTACGCGTTTGGGTACACAACCATGTTGTAATGAACATCTTTAACTCACCATCGATGATACATGTAACTGTTAAATTGAATGTTAAAGTAATACTCGCACTTGTTGGTTCCCTTGATGTTCGACAAAATGCTGCGATCACACCAAGTATTTGATATCTAAATTCATGCCTTTTGAACACTTGGGCAACACCAGCGCACACCACCCCAGCCACCGCCCCCGCCAGGAACGCTCTGCGGCTTTGAGCCACCTCGCACGCCACGTGGTCAAGCCTTTTGGTCCGAACCCGCGGCCGATGGGGACCGGGCCGGGGCCGGGGCACCATGCGGACTGCCAGCCGATCACTTGGCACTTGGTGTGGTTGGGGGGATCAATAGGGTGGCATATGTTCCCTGGTCCCATGCTTGTGACGCATCCACGGCCTGTTTGCGCCGTGGTGGATTTGAACGAAGTCACTGATTTGGGCATTTTGGGGGGGCCTCCTGGAGCAGGTGCAGACTCCGGTGATTTGGATTTGGGTGCGGCTGAGGATTGACAAGTACACACCGGAAGCCTGTAGCATCATTGGAAACTACTACAGCCTGAAGGGGGAGCACGAGAAAGCGGTGATTTACTTCCAGTGACTTGGGCCGCAGATCCGTGTTCCGACTTTTTTCGCAGTTTCGATTCATTACGCCAAAGCATGGCATCCTCTTTTTGGACCTGACATTCTGAGCTGAACATGCAGGGAAGCGATTGCGCTTCCTGATTTTGGAATAGTTCGGGCACCTCTTCCCGCGAAGCGCAGCGCCGAAACAAAACACCTGTATTCTTTACCGCCAGCGGCACGCGTGGACGCGTGCAACCGCGCTGGAGCTGAGGAGAGCCTTGAGCCTCAACCGGCACTTCACTCCAGCGTGGATTCTGATGGGTCACGAGTTCATGGAGATGAAGAATACGCCGGCTGCAGCTCGGAGGGAGGAAGGACAGTGGCCTCAGTGGCCTCAGCTGGCGGACCTAGCTTGGTGAAGTGGGTGATGTGGCAAGTGAAGACTAGTGAAGACCAAAGCCAGACTGAAGCCCATGACGAACCAGAACACATGGTGAGAGCACGACATGTCAGTCACAGTCAAACTTCTTTACGGAAGCGTGTGCCAGCACCACCCAAAAGGTCGTTTAAAGACCCTCCTGCCGAAGTAGCTTTCATCCAAAAACCCTGCCCTTTGGTCCTTTGGCTGGTCCTGGTGGTTTCTTTCTGTTTGTTTGGTGTTCCATTTGATGTGACTAAAATTGATCATGGATTCACTAGGTTTTTGGTGGTTTTTGCATCGGAAGGAGCCGGCCGCTTTGGGCCCTGCAGATGGATTCCCTACCCACGTCAGGCAATCAATCTCAGTGGTCGAACTGCTTTGGACATTTTGGACTAGACTGAGCACAGAAACCCGAACCACTACCCAAAGAACCATCGATAAATGGTTTGACATGTCTTCCGCGAAGGGATGCCATGCATGACGTTGGTAACACCCAAATCTGGTTGGGAGACCTGAGCCACCTGCACATTGGCCCCCCCGCACACCGCCCTCCACCGGGCCATGCCCACCCATCATGGACGGACCGAACCCCCTAGGCCATCGACGCCTACCGGACAGCCGTGACGCTCAATCAGAGGGACTATCGGGCGTGGTATGGCTTGGGGCAAACCTATGAGTTGCTCAGTGACTTCGCCCCGCAAACGTGCAGGTCACCGGTGTTTGTTGGCCCGTCCGGAGAAATGGGTTCTAGATGGTTCTAGTATTCAAGATTTCTGTGACTGCTCATTGCTCATGTTTTGATGTTGAGCATTTCATAATATAACATGATATAACATGTCTATGAGGGTCCGGCAGTGCTCAAGTGCAGAATGTTGGCCAGTCTTGACAGCTAGACTGTTCTGGCTCTGTAGTGATATATATATATATTTTTTTATTTACTAATATATTGAATCGAAGGCCCACGATGTCTGTTGAATGAAGAACTTCACGTAACCTATTCTTGAGACGTGTGTTGTTGACGGGATGTTTATCCACCGAGGCCTTCACTACTACGCCCTCTTCTACTACCGCCGTGCGATGATGCTCCGCCCAGACGATGCACGCATGTGGTGCGCCATGGCGCAGTGCTATGATCTCATGGGTCGCAAGGTGGAGGCCGAGTCCTGCGCTGCAAACCATCTCGATGAGACAGTCCGTGCCAGTCAACCCATTGTCTACCCTGGGACTCGCTGTAGTATGGAAGTGGACCGATGGGTCCATCGGAAGACGATGTTCCTTCAGAAACCAGAGGTTTTCCCACGGGTTTTCGCCTCTGTGTCAGTGGGAGGGTGCCATATCCCCACCAAGTCCACCCACCAAGTCCTCTCGTGTCCGGCCAGTCCCCACGTCGCCCCGGCACAGCGCCCCGGCGAGTCCGAACGAATGGAAGCCAGGAGAGGCAGTGGATTGACCTAAGTATAACTTTTATACTTGATCATACTGTAGATGGCAGGGTTTTCCAAGAGGTGTTTTGATTTAATATGCCATTGTTGGCATAGAGTGTTGGTGGCAATAGGTTTGCGCCATCACCCCTGAAGCTACAGCTACTGTTACATACTGTTACTACTGAGAAATGGTCTTGGGAATGCGGGGGTGCATCAAAAGCACAAGAAGTACGAAGTCCTCCCAAAACGAACCTTGGGCTTGGGGGGTCCATAGTAGTTTGTCCATATTGTGGCGAAGAGCTGAAGTCGAAAACGAACTAGTTTGGTGCCATCATGCCAGTGGCCCAGTCGACCGACGAAGTTGAAAGCCTCTCAAAGGGGAGCTTTTGCTCTCAGCAGCTTCAGAATCGAAACCATGATCATCAGGTGTTGCGGAGGGGAACTTCACCAAAAAAAAAGCTAGACAACTGGTGGGGACAGCTCGGAGTTGCTTTGTTTTGGTGCCGGGTCTCACCCCACTCCTTCGACGGGTCGCTGGGTGTGTTTCGTCACCGGGTCGCCGAAGCACGGAGAAGGCGCTGCGCTGTTACGAGAAGGCGCACCGCTGTGGGGACCAGGAGCGGATGGCGCTGCCACGGCTCGCGCGGCTCCACAGGGACTTGGGGCAGCGGAGGCGCGGGCGAAGCGGAGATGGAGGAGAGAGGAGTGGAATTTAGGAATGAATGACCTCCAACCTAATAGCGATGGCCTCAGCCTCAAACATACTAGCGATG